ATTGTGACTTACCATTGAATGCTTCTTACTCCTGATATATATTCATCTTTTCCAGCTCTTAGTCCAGACAACGATGGTAAGCCTCCTGAAAAATACGTAGGAACTGTGCGACCGCCCCCTTACAGCTGGCCAGATAGACTGTAACAGACGGAGATCTGACCAGAGACCCGACCTTGAGGTTTGAACGGACTACACTACTTTCGTTTTCCTTTTGCAGAGTCTACGCTCCGAAAGCCACGTGCCGACGATTATCTGTCAACACACCGATAAGTCGTTCCGTCATATTATTCCGTTTCTACGTTATCGCATTATTATATCCCCATTTTGCATATTACAATAAACTTATATCGTTTTGTCATTCCCGTTATCTATATCATGTCTCGTACGCCTGTGCCCCCCTCTACCACACACTCTGAAGTACAAGGTATTTTAGACCGACTTTTCCAAGCCTCCGGATCGTCCGAATTCAAGCTTCCCTCTTCTCCCTCCTTCTACGCACGTGACCCGACGTCTACTACCCGCTCGGTCGCTACAAGACTGACAACCAGCAACTAGAGCAAACCGAAAGTTACCCAACAGGAAAATAATTTCAAGGTCAGGCCGATATCAAAGTTCTTCAATTGCCATGAAGGACATATTATTCATGCCCCCGAAAACTACCAAACTGCAAACTTCAATTTTTATATTGTACATAGCGTTATTTTTTGAAAATTTTGTTATTATTTTCCCTTAGAACTGAGGTTTTTTTTAACTTAAAACAAACTCTCAATTCGCGCTCTTTTGGCTAACCAGACACCCGAAGCAAATGAAGTCAAAGTGCAGTTGAAATTGACGAGTTTGTTTTAGGTTTTTTTCCTGAGTTCAAAGGGGACTGACAGTGCCCAAGGGGCGCTACAATAAACCTATTCTATTCTATTCTATAACACCTGGCACATTTATTGCGTGACCTTCAATACTTAGTTGAGGTTGGCGGTCGTCGCCAACCACCATGACTGAGCACTTATGCCAAGAAAGAGAAAGGCGCCAGTGTGCGGCACCACTGGGCGAAAGCCTGTAGATCGCTCTTTAGGAGCTCAAGCACGATGTCATGATCTGCCGACTTATATCGATATGCAACTTTAAGATCATCGGCATACATGAAAGGCTTACCATTCTGAAATAAATCGGGTACATCATTAACGAAAAGGCAAAATAAAAGCGGGCCGAGTGCACTACCCTGAATGACTCCACTCCTCACACGTGTGGGGTTGGAGATGGTATTGGAAATCTTAACTCGTTGTGTGCGAGTGACCAAATAAGAGGATATAAAATTCATAAGTTTGCCACCTATTCCGAAAGAGGACAATTTCAAGAGGAGAAGAGCATGGTCAACACGGTCAAAAGCCTTAGTGAAATCGAAATATACTGTGTAAAGAGCAAAACCATGGTCCCTAGATTGGAGAACATAGTCAAAGAAAGAGAGTTGACAGGTGTCACAAGATCGAGCTTTGAGGAATCCATGCTGAGCAACACTCAGTAAGTTGTTCGCTGTTAAGTGACACATCATCTTATCTTTGACCAATGTCTCTAAGATCTTCGAAACTGCAGGGAGGGTGTTTATTGGCCGAAAGACATCAAATGATGTAGATTTGCCGTGCTTAGGAATGGGCAAAATGTGTGATTCCTTCCACAAGGTAGGATAAGTTTCACTTTTAAGAGCAAGATTAAATATCTTGAATAAGAGGGATGGGAAGATCGTGTTTGCATCGGCGTTTAAAATGCTTACTGGGACACCACCAGGGCCTGGACTATAAAATTGACGAAAACGCCGAATCGCAACAGTCACATCCCACAGAGTGAAAGTTACAGTTTCTAGAACTGCCCCGGTCAATGACTGGATGGTCGGAAGCGGAGTGGTCGAGTCTTCAATGAACGTTTTGGACAGGAAATCATTGAAGCTATCCGCGGTTAACTGGGCATCAACTATGGGATTTCCGAGATCGTCTCGAAGGATGGGATACTGCGTCCTTCTCTGAATTCGTATTTTTCTAGAGAAAAGTTTCGAGACACTAAACGAATGGTTTTCAGTAAAGTGGACCTCTTCGGCTAGCTGTTTTTCTTCAGACAATCTCTTAGCTCGATCAAAAATATCACAAATCAAGGGCAGAACAGAAACATCGTTCTGCAGATGGAAACGACGATAAAGCCTGCGCAATCTGCGACGAAAGGGTAAAGGTAGGAAAATCTCATCCCCAACATTAATAATTTTCTTACGGGGGACAAAACGAGAAATAAGCGGACCGAAAATTTCGTACAGGTTTGCAGTGCAAACATTTACATCCGAACTAAGGAAGAACTCAGTCCAGTCGTAGGAATTAAGGTGTGTTAATAATTCGGTTGAGCGAGTTGATCGGAAATCGCGGAAAAAGTTATACTTTTGGGACGACATTTCGTCAGCCTCGAATTCCAACGTTGAAACAACTATGTCATGGTCTGAGCCCCCGAGTGGGCCTAGGGATGACACTGACGATGGCAAACAGCCTCTACAGAAAATTAAGTCAAGTATACTTGAGCCTCGGGTGGGAAAATCGACAACCTGAGTCCACATCCCGACATCCACAGCCTCAAGGAAGTCATCGAACCTTCTGGGGCCTGAAGGCGGAGACCAGCGGACTTCAGGGAGATTAAAGTCACCCGCAACCAGTTGATACTTAAAGCTTAAGTCGGCCGCAGCATGTAATGCCTGTGAGAGTAAGCGATCAAAATTTTCATTGGCGTTGGGAGGGCGATAGACGCAGCCAACGTGTAAGGAAAACTTATATTTTAGTGCAACCTGGAGCCAGCAGCTGCCTTCTACCGCTGAAAAGTGCGGGAGGTCCAACGGCAAACATGTAAGTGTTTGCTTCACGTAGATGCAGCTGCCCCCACCATGGCTATCTTGGCGATCATTTCGAATGCAATTGTAGCCTAGAAGGGAGAGTTCGGAGTCAGCTACTGAGGCTGATGCCCACGTCTCAGTTACTAAAACAATATCAGGACAATGGACGAACACCAGAGTCTGAAGCAAAGGCATCTTATTAAGCAAGGATCTGGCATTTAAAACAAAAAGTTTGAAGGGAAAGGCTGTTAGTTTTTGAGGGAGGTGGGCTACATCGTCCAGTTCTGGGTCGCCCACGGAGCAAACGGTCCGGATGCAACCATCCGGTTCTGCAAAAAATTTTGTGGCATCAAAAAATTCTGACGTGGATAAAAAGGGGTAGGACTTGGGGGAGGGAATGACGGGCAGGTAAACTGGTAACTATTGTTAGCTAACTTATTTTCAGCTGGAAACCTGCGGGGCAGATACTGCAACGTATTCCCGCCGGGACGAAACTGAGGATCGGATGAATTAACTGATTCAGTATGGACATTATCATGAGGAATAAACTGGTAAAACGGTCGTGGAGGAAACAAGTTAGGGGGTGGGAAACGCATTGCTTCCATTGGAACAAGAGGTCTATTAAACGGTGGGAAAATCGGCATATTCGGCCTAACTGCCTTGATATGAGGGCTGGGGGGCAGTTGCGAACCCGCTACGTTTTGAGTCGGGGTATTTGAGGCACTGTTCGCCGATTGTGGAGGAAAACATTTTATACTGGTGCTGGATTTATTGGGTGTCCGAGTGGCTGAGACAGCAATTGGATTTGCCTTTGACTTAGACACATGCTTAGGCTTACTTGGGGCTGCTGAGGGAGTCGATAGAGGCGTGTTTATACCAGGCGTGGTGGTGTGTTTAAAGAGGTCAGCATTAAAAGTAGTCGAACTCCCTACGGAATTGACTATGCCGTGACTTGCAGATGCCGCAGGTGGTGTTGTAGAGGACATATTCAGACTGACAGTAGGTGTCATTATCTTGGTGTTGGTTTTTGCCGATTTCAGTTTATTCAGTCTTCGCTGCAGGGGTGTGAGGTCTGGCGAAACGGAGCAGCGCCATTTACGGCAGAAGTCTCTAGTCATCTCCCTACTCGACAAGATAAAATCGACTTCTATCATGGAGAAAAGGGTAACTAGTATCGGCGCATTACGGCTAAGCGAGCGAAGTCGCTTAGCTTGTGCGACACTAAAACTCAAACCACAACTTTGTAGGAACAAATGCGCTCCCTCCATAGCAGATAAGTGACTCGGAATGTTTCGCAGTACGAAATTATGCTTGCGTTTAATTCGTTCCTCAGTTTCCAAACTTATTACCCCAATAAGTTTAAAAGTTTGTTCAAGCACTTTTTCAGAAGTGCTGTTTATGTCTCCATAAATCAGCTGATCGATTATTTCGCCGGCTGATGGCCTGCTACGACTAGCAGAGGCGTATTTTTGGACGACTGAAGGGTCGAAAGGTTCTACATGTACTAAAGGGATTTGTGAGTTAATCAGATCTGCAGACGGCGAAGAACATACGCTGGCGTCTGCCATGTCTTCAATCACGATTTTAGCACCCAGAGACGGTGGGGAGGCCGCAAGCTTTCGCCTTTTAGCACGTGCTCTGCGGGGCATTACAGACAAAAAATAGTTTTTTGTTACAGAAGAAGGATCAAAACGTTGCCAACGTACGGAAACGCGCACTGAGTAGCAAGTATTACTGTTTTTTTACTACGAAAACTGGAAAGCGGTAGTAGGGAAAGGATTCACTACAATGGATTTTTTACAAAATACGACTATTTTGCCAGACTGTCAAACAAATTGGGAAAAAATTTTACCTTATATAGAAAGGCGACTTTTAAGATGGACTCAAGTAAAAAACAGGCATTAATTAATTAAGAATATCCAGATAAATGCAGAGCTTCACTTATCTTTGAAATTGAGCTGCGCGCCTTGACCTTGACCTTGATAGCGGGTCAACGGACAATCCAGCATATTCAAAGGAAATGAGTGCATTGTTTGCAGTCATACTGACTGCGGATAGAAGCGAACAGGCGAGTTCCAGGTAGCAGTTCAGAAGACGAAGATACGATCACTGGAACAAGAAACTTATTGGACTGACGTTTCGGATTCCCACTCGAACCCATCATCAGAAAAGGTCGCAAATAAGGGTAGTGGTGGCACAGGGAGAGCAGAATTTATAGCACGTGGCTGTCGTGGGACCATATGCGCACTTTACGTAACAGATCTGGCAATCGCCGCTGAGGTCGTAATTGACGCGATGGTGGCCAGTGAGTACGCGTCCGAGTCGTCAACTGCCGTGATTACGTCATCCATGTTGGATGCTGGTGCGACGATTGCTCAGCAAATTCGATAACTGTCACTAGGAAAATTGCCAAACCGCTCCCACCTCACGTGACTGATTCCCAGTCCAGGGAAACTCTCAGAACGGAATATGGTCACGGGAGGTCATTGTGCTTGCTAGTGGATTGCGGGCCTCAGACCCATGACTCGAGCATTTCGCGGCTCACGCGGTTGTTACCCCATGCAAAGATTTCGGCCTCTTGAAATATGAAAATATTGCCGGGTCCCGTCGAATGAGCCGCCACCTGAGAGTTAGCGTCTCCCCGCATCACTGCTGCTGCTGCGTAATGGGCAATTCGCCTACGGAGTCATCTCACAGT